AGGGGGGCGGGACTTGCTTCTTAGCAAGGACTGGAGCACATCGAGAGGCTGATTTGGACGGTGTGGGGATGTCTAGTGACATGAGTGGGACGGCGGCAGCGTCGGGGGCTGCTGAGGTTGTAGGAGCGGCAGGGGCCGCTGAGATAGGGGGGGGGTGCGTTTTAACGCGGCGCGCTTACCGTTGCGCTTGGAGGTGACGGTGGTGAACGTGGACTCCCCGGTTCCGTCGGAGTCAGAGGACTCCGATGAGCCGGAGCCTGAAGTAGTGGCGGGCCTCTTCCGGGAGGTCGGCGCCGAGGACTCGGAGCATGCGTACTCCATTTCTAGGGGGCCGATTCAAGGGGGGCAAAGGAGTTCGCGTTTCGAGTAGACGCGATTACCGGCGGCGGATGGTGTGCCTGAAGGGCAGGGAGGGGAGCCTGGGCGGCGATGGTGGCGATGGCGGCGTGGACCGTCTCATTGCCGTTTAAACCGAATTGGTAAATGAGGGCGGCGAGGGACTCATTGAAGCTGGATGTGGCCATTTTGGGCCAGTAAGCTACGCTAGGTAAAGATGAGGACGGGTCCCTGTTCTCGGTAGAACAGGGACTAGATCGCGAGACGTACTACGACACACTATGCACGTAATAGTAATGCAAGGACAACAAGAAAATAAAGGAGACAGTACACAAAAAAAAATGAAAATGAAAATTGAAAAGAAATGATGAAAATGAAAAGCGGAAGTCAGTCAGACCTCCCTGCCCGAAGACAGGGGGGCAAGAACTGTAGCGTGAAAGTGACTCACCGGCAGCCTCGACGCTGTTCCGCGTGAGCAGGACAGAGGAGGCGCGTGAGAGCGAGACAGCACTACCGTACTGTACGGGAGCGCAGACCACCAGGAGGCGACCGTCCGAGAGCGATGCCGCCGGCGGACTGAGCACTGCGTCGGCGCTGTACAGCGCGAGCGGGACAGCGGAGGCGCGAGAGCGGGAGAGCACTACCGTACGAGGACGAAAGCGCGGACTGCCTGAATGCGACCGCTCGGAAGCGATGCCACAGGCGTAATGACTCGTATCTATTGTTTTTATAGTGGGGTTTTCAATACGTTTGCGCCTTTACAATCGCGCTTAACTTGGGGGATAAAAATTTATCACAACTATTCAAAACCTGTTCCGCGGTAACATCTTCATATTTTTAGCAGTGCATTATCACTTTATACTTATTTTTAACAATTGTTTTCCGAGTTTTCTTTTTCAGGGAGTAAAGTCAGTCAATCGTGCTGGTGTCTGAGAACTATAATCTATTCCTGTATATTGCTTGTTGTCGGTGTGTTCTGAGTTTTGTGATTAAGAAACTGCTATTTTTAAAATATGGCGTTTATCGGAGAGATCCAATATTACATCACTTAAAATTTTGATTTTAAGATCGGTCTGGGTATGAATTGAGTTGTTGGTTGGTAAAAGTAACGTTGGTATAGCTGTTTTCTTCAGTAATTTCTTCCCTTGTATATTCTTTTCAAAATGTAGTGTATTATTTAAATGTGTATGTATGTATTCTTTAGACTTTCAATAGTTCTTCCAACTAAATCAGGGCTTCCAATATAATACCTATTAAAATTTTGAATACAGTACCTATTAATAAATTTTCATAGTTGTCACCACAGAAACCTCTAAATTGATATCGTATTATTAAAAAAATCACCAGCTTGGATTTCAAAATAGATTATATTTACGTAATCAGCACCCTAAGACGCCTCGAAATCAATACCCATATCATATTATTAAAAAATGTCCGCCATCTTGGATATGAAAATGGATGCCGTTTTTGTAATCATCACCCAAAGAAACCTCGAACTTGAAATCCATATCAATATAAAATTGACCCCTAAACCTTAATATTTAATTTAAAAAAAACTTCAAAAATCGAAGACGTAGCGCTATAGTCCAAGACTTTAGCCTATCCAGTCACACGATTTGGATGAAGAAGAAAAGTTAAACTTTGAAACACATGCCCAGCGATTAATACCTATTTTTTACGTCCGCCATTTTTTCACGTTGACAATTTGGCCTGACGTAACAAAATATACACAATGTAAAATAATAATAACAATATTTATATACATTTCTTCCGTGTGCGGAATTTGGTGAAATCGCAGATCTTTATTTATGAGAGATGACTTGCAATCTCTCACAGCACACGTTGTATGCACCATTTTAAACATGACTACCTACACTAAATTTAAACATAATAACTTCCGGGGTTAAAAAGCAAACACTTGTTAACCCTGGAAGTCGTGTCCCGAGCTACTAATACGATTGGCATGAGAAGCTCGGGCTCGTCGCGTCTCGCCTCTCACGCCCCGCACGATTTCCCTGTCTAACGTCTTCGTCGGACTACTGTAGAATTTATAGACTGTGCCAAATGTGGGTACTGTTACCTATTCAAATTGTTTACAATACAACTGGTCATTCTAAAGCCTCGCTTACATTCAGCACCTACCACTACTCCTCGCGCTGCCGGCAATACTTCGCTAAATACTGCCGTAGCAGGATCGAGGAGGTGTGTATTTACATTCTGTTCTACCACTCACATCACTTTCGACTTTCGACTATGGCAGACGTCGAAATAATTACGGCGTCAGCGCTGTGTCTTCTTGTAATGCGGGCTCCAGACTCCTGTGTGATTCACGGTGTGAATTCACGCCGTAATTTTGCGAAGAAGACGTCGCGAAAAACTTATCCCTCTCCACATTCGCAATCGTTCACAGTTTAATTCGCGCGCTCGTCGAGAATGGACGCTGAAATGTGCACTGCTATCGCAGTGACAATATGCGCTTTGGCTCACGACAATTACGTGTATATAAAAGATAAAAAACTATTTGTAGTTTTTTTACAATTATCGCTTTCTCCTAGAAAATCATCGATCACGTCAAAGGCAATGCTGGCTGTAATTTTTGTCGGGACTTCTTTTCAGAATTCTTCACTTTTTTCTTATAATTTCTATAACTGGACATTGTACTTTTTTTTTCTTTCAATCAGTCACTTCAACGTTTTTCGTGGCAGAGCCATGCTGCAGTTATATTAGTAGTATAGTTGTAGCACGAATGGGTCGGCTCGACCGGGGAAGGACCACGCTCTCACAGAATACCAGCGTAAAATAGTAGCTTAATGCTGCTGTGTTTCGTATGGTGAGTGTAGAGAACTGGAGACCATTTTTACTGGAAATGAGACATTCCACCCAAGTCCTCATGGGTGACAACGCATGTGCATTTTGATTCGTAATCGAGGATAGATGTATATGTCTATAGACTACAGCATCCATACATACCATCAGGTGGACTCTGTGCTCGTTTGTCACCCTATCCTTTAAAATAAAATAAAATAATATTCATTTTTTCCTTTATTCATATCCATGCGTCATGTACTTTCATTTTATTTTTATGATCTTTGTGTTTAAAATCCCATAAAATAGGTTCGGCATGATAACACTCGATCAACAAGAGTTCCTTCTCGTTCGTCCAATTGACGCTCATTTTGAACCACCTTCCTCCGTAAAAAAATACAAATAAGCATAACCTCACTGACACAGCGTTACTGATTTCACGCGCGAGTGTGGATGCGCTTGCGTTCACGAGAGGTTCACGCCTCGTAAACCCTTTGAGGCGGGCACAAAATACCGACACTGAATGGGGAACAAGGCGTGAAGCCCGTGAACGGGCGCAAAAGCCATCAATATTTGCGGTTCACGCATTTCACAGGTGTTCACGGCGCGAATGTAGAGGGCGCTTGATAAAAATATGTTAATAATTTTAAAAGATATCAAATTCAAAAGAAGAAAATTCTTCGTCGTAGAAGATGATGTATTATGGTTTTTATCGTTGAAATCCCATATAGGTTTTTCTGATTCCAGCAGTTCTACAAACAGCGTTCGGGCAGTGGCAGCGGCAGCGGCAGTGTCAGCGCGAATAGCCTGTTTACATACTGCCCTGCCCACTGCCCTGCCCAGAAAGGCTTAATGTAAATGGGGCATAACAGATACAATTCTCCGAAAATACTAGTTAAATTAAGTCGCTTAATGTGTATGTGTTAATAAGAAAGGTCGTAAAAAGCAGTGTTTTTATAAGGCGATCACATAGCATTTAGCCGGGATCTATAATTTTTTCAATATAACCGGTATGTTGTTCTAAACGATGTTGAAATTTTACTCTTCAATTTACATATCGGGTGGTGCAATGTCATACGCATTGTATTTGTATAATGTGGCAAAGTGTATGAAGGGAATTCGGTCCGATCGTTCACTGCGTATCTCCTATGGTACAGTGGCGAGGGTTAATAATTTAGTGAGGAATTAAACTTAGAGTCTGGTCAAACAACGAGGTCTATTCATTTTCACAAACGTCTTTACGCTACACGTTATTACAAGTTATTTCAGTTAGGAGGTTTAGAGACAACTAGCGTGTCTATGAGGGCGTTCGGTGTGCGTGGCATACAAAAATATTTTTTCAGCAAAATGCGTTACAATGTTGCACCTACATTCCTCCCCTTTTTAAAAAAAATTTAAAACATTTTTTGTTAAACATTAAAACATAAGTTGAACACAAAAGTACAAGAAATACATTGAAACTGCAAACTCCTTACATTCTGTCGCCCAGTCGTCTTGCTTACACAGCTATTTAAAAACAAAGTTGCACTGTTTTAATTTCATATTATCTTATTAAGTTTTAGTACTGAGAACTGTTGTTGCAATGATAAAATATTAAATAAACATAACAATATGCTGAAATACTAATTTATTTACCCGACATTACTTTTAACCCTTAAATGCATAATCACTTAATTTGTATTAAAAAATATATTGTATTGTAGAAAAATATGGCTAGATAAAGGAAAAAATAATAAAAAAAAATATTTATTGCCTTTAATAATTATTTTTTACATAAAAACTCTTTGTATCGTTTTCGATACACTATGCATTAGGGGTTCATTTAAAAACAAAGATGCTGGTTATGTTTTATTTATATTTTAATGGAACAACATATTAGAATTACGAAAAAAAGTTAGACCCCTTTGACTTGGAGGTACATATTTACAAAGACTATCAGCTAGTTCAGATCTGAAATCTCCAAGACTCAAAACATTGGCAGATGGCACGCCTTTTTCTTCGTGGACTTTTTTATACAGAATCCAAGAGTTGATTACTGTTAAGTCCACAAGGTGATAAAAAATTCTCATGTACCATTTGCGACTTTTCATTCGGATCCGATGTCTGCCAAGAAATGAGTCCATCAAATCAACCCCACCCATATGGGTATTGTAGTCCTTTATTATCTTTGGACATGGTATGTCAATTCTTTTCTTTTCTTTTTTGTCATATCTTTCTACTTTTCCAGCTGGTTCAGCGCCCACATATGTCGATGCTAAAACAACCTGCTTATTATCCTTCCAGCTCACTGTAGTTATGTCAACTCCCTCGTAATTAGTAGTATACTCCTCGTAAGCACCTCTTGGTACAGAATTTTTCATCGTTTCTTGTTTTGTAGGTAGCTTACAGGATTTGCCTAATCTGTTCCGCTGGATAGTACCTAAAGTATGAATTCCTTCTCTCGCAAGTGTATACATTAGAGGAAGTGATGTGTAGTAATTGTCGAAATAGACAATATGATTTTGCTGTCGCGGTACAACTCTCAATAGTTTCATAACAGTGGATCCTACTACACCTATATCCGGCTCATTTGGCAATCTCTCATGCGATTCTTTGCCTGTGTAAATATGAAAACTATAGGCATATCCCATAAGACTACAAAGTACAAACAATTTAAACCCCCATTTATGGGGCTTGTTGGGTAAGTATTGCTTTAAAAAATGTCTTATTTTGGATGAACACATTTGTTCATCCAGTGAAAGTCTTTGGTCTATTGTAATACTTGAAAAGCGCTCATTCAAATGGTCTATAACAGGTCGAATCTTATGGAGTTTGTCATGATCTGGATGCTCTCTTGGTAAATGATTTTCATTGTTATTGAAGTGTAAGATACTGCGTATTTTCTCAAATCTATTTACTGGTATCGTATCTTTTATTGCATTGAAGCCAAACTTATTCGACCAATATGAACGCGTACTTGGGTAATGATAAACTGACATAAAAATTAATATACCCAAATATTTTCGTAGCTCATTTGTTGTAATACTATCTGGTCTATCAGGCTGTTTTTGAACAGAATATAAGGTTGTTTGCCAGACAATTTTTTCTAAAAATGAATTTGGCATAAAGTAGTTGAAAAATTGATATGGAGTCTGCAAGTGTAGTACATCAGTAGGTAGATAACGAGAACCACCAAACTTTATCTTTTCTTCATCAAAAATTGATATGGAGTCTGCAAGTGTAGTACATCAGTAGGTAGATAACGAGAACCACCAAACTTTATCTTTTCTTCATCAAAAATTGATATGGAGTCTACAAGTGTAGTACATCAGTAGGTAGATAACGAGAACCACCAAACTTTATCTTTTATTCATCAAAAAATGATATGGAGTCTGCAAGTGTAGTACATCAGTAGGTAGATAACGAGAACCACCAAACTTTATCTTTTCTTCATCAAAAATTGATATGGAGTCTACAAGTGTAGTACATCAGTAGGTAGATAACGAGAACCACCAAACTTTATCTTTTCTTCATCAAAAATTGATATGGAGTCTGCAAGTGTAGTACATCAGTAGGTAGATAACGAGAACCACCAAACTTTATCTTTTCTTCATCAAAAATTGATATGGAGTCTGCAAGTGTAGTACATCAGTAGGTAGATAACGAGAACCACCAAACTTTATCTTTTCTTCATCAAAAATTGATATGGAGTCTACAAGTGTAGTACATCAGTAGGTAGATAACGAGAACCACCAAACTTTATCTTTTCTTCATCAAAAATTGATATGGAGTCTGCAAGTGTAGTACATCAGTAGGTAGATAACGAGAACCACCAAACTTTATCTTTTCTTCATCAAAAATCAAAGACTGTTTTTTCCAAACTAAATTTCTAGAATTTATCATACAAAAAATAGGTTGAGAGCCATGGGATTGTGACGTATTAATATTGTCTTGAACCAAAGGTGGGTCTTCAGAAACGATTTCTTCATCAACAGCATCTTCTTGATCTTCGCTGTGTTCAAGCTCAGCAGTCCACGATTCACGAGTTGAGTAGTAAGGGATATCCTCCCCATCTGATTCTAAATCATCTTCTGAAAGCTCCCCGTCATCTAACTTTTGAAGTAGTTCCTCAATGTGATGGTCTGAAAGGCATAACAAGATAATGAATAAAAAGAAAGTAGCCCAACACTACTACTAAAACCATACAAGTTGTAAAGAAACTCTTAGAATAAAAATGGAGCTAATTGCATAGTGTATCGTTTTCGATACAAAGATAAAATAAAAGTTTTAGATAGGAAAACATATAAAAAAGCATTGAAATATATAATAACCATAAACATTAAAAACTTACCACGCATTTTGTGAAAAATTCCACACAGAAAACTCAGATTTTCTTAATAAATAATAACAATTTGAAACTACGTTTCTCACTAAACCTTTCTATTCCCATCGGACAATTTTGACACAAGAAATGCTATAATAGTTGACAGCTGACACTATTTAATTTTATTTTGTTGGCAACAATAAAGGCAAAGGTACTTATGTGTATACAGCCAGCTTCGTGTTATGTAAAAGTACAGAGTAAAAAACTCAGTGTATCATTTTCGATACAAAATGCATTTAAGGGTTAAAGTATTATGTTTTTACATACATGAAATCACAAAATATTATGCAAATCACTGTATCATTTTAGGTGAAAATTAAAACATGCAAATAAATATAATATAAACACAAAAATATTTTACAACATCTACATTAAAATGCTCTAATCGTATGACGTTTGCATCTGCTGTTGAGTGCACTGGGTTTCTTTTTAATTGCTGGACCTGTAAGCCACATAGACGTCATATCATTTCTTACCCATTTCTTGAAACGGGTACAAAATGCTTACCACATACCAATTACATACCATATGCGCAATATTACAAAGATGCTGATAAAAACAAAAATGATTACCCCGTACGTTTTAACTTCTTTATTTCACCAATTTGCTTTGGCCTGATTAGCTCCTTATTGAGCGGAATATAACCTCTTCATTCTATGTCTGATAATTTCCAATTTTGGTTAAAAATCAACAACAAGCATCGGTGTTATATTACAAAATTATAATAAAATATTGGGTAGTACAAGTGTTCGGTTAAAGTATTTAATATTCGGTTTGTAGTATTATCTTTAATTCGGGATGCAGGATTGAAACGCAGATCACTATATTAATAATTTAATATTAGTTAACATTTAAATATTCACAATATTCTTTAAGACAACCACTTCTACCAAAGCTCTTCCACTATACTGGCTATATTCCTTTTTTCCTTTCCAGCCATTCTTTTATCCCCCTCCGTAAACTAGAGTAGCCAATATTTATGTTGCGCGCTCCAGAAAGACGTAGGTGTCTTCTCTTTGGCTTCGAGGTAGGTGTCTATTTTATAAGCCTCATAAAACGGCAGTCTAGCAAGGCTGCAGTGATAAGTGTATCTATGGTCTGGAACTTTTTATCCAGGTTGGCTAACATATTGTTTTTCAAAGCCAATATGATCAACGTTTCGTCATCTGCAATTGAGTTAAGCACTTCCTTTAACTCCGTTTTGAAAACAAGTCCGAGATTAGCAAGTTGCCAAAAAACTTTATCAAATATTCACCAGGTCTTCTAAAACTTTTTTCTTCTTGTTGACGTTCTCATCGGTATCGTGGAGAACAAGATAGCCGAAATATTTCCAGCAAGTGCTGTTTTTCGGTTTAGAATTAAACAACACACTCACTGAAGTTTATTCTCTATATCAGTAGAAGTATTTCTCTTTACCAGACTTCATTATTTCATCATTAGACATAATATTGATTTAAGTACGCAAAATTTAACTAAACTGCGAGTATGCGACGTCAGAAATGCAAAATATTTTTCCGCGGTTTGTCTTAGCTAAGCTTCGACGCGAGTTTACCGTGCCGTGCTAGCTGGCCAGCGGAGGTAAAGGAGGTGTAGTGCGCTTTACGTAATACTTTAACATTGGTTAATTAATTTAATTGTAATTTTTTGTTCATTATGAACAAAATATAAAACGAGAGGAAAAAAAGTTCTTTATAACGTCACTACACAAATTCAAATTTAGTTGTAAATTTTAATTAATTTTCTTATAAAATCTAAAATAAATTTAATCTTAGATAATAAATTACAATATATATATATATATATTTTTTTTTTTTATATATATAACTTATTGTTTATTTTACTTCTAGATATTAGTAAATACGAAAAAAACATTCCTTGTAAAGTACAAAGTTCGTTCTAAATCTTCATTAATATTCTCATAAAGTCTAAAATACATTTATTTTGAGATATCAATAAACTATAATGTGTGGTTTACTCCATGAATATAATTAATATAAAACTTATTGTTTGTTTTACTTGCAGACATAAGTCAGGTTATTAACATTTTTAGCAATACGCGTTAAAATGGGTCACCTTCTTTGCTAAAACGATAGAATCTGCGAGCCAACATATTGTCTCTTACTGTGAGATCGCTACGTTCCCATTCTATATCAGCATCGTCTTTAAGGTCGTCAGTAATTATGTCCCACATATTTAAATTAAATTAACCTATTGCTGCCGCAGAAGAATAATTGTGGAAATATTGTTTTAAATTTTATGGTTTTATTCATTGAAATTGAATGATATAAAACTTTCAAATCAATTTGTCAAAACTTGAAGAAGTTTAAATGCAATTTGATGAACAATATAGCAGCGCATTAAAATACAAACAAACAAACATTAATTTTTATATGTTAGATAAATAAGTCTTGACACATTAATTCTAAACCTAACCTAACTCGGGTGTCTTTTTCACTCGAGTGAAGCTATGATTGGAGTAAAGATGTGACTTTTATGAAGTAAATAAAATAAAATATTAAATATTAAAAATCAAATATTTAATATTTGCTATATATCTTCTTTAGTGGTTTATTTATAATATCTCTTACATTATATAAATTAAAACCTATTTTTTGGCTTTGGTTTTACTTTAACAACTTAGTAAGTTATTATAAAAACAATAAAATACAAAACAAAATGATCAAAAACAATAAGAAATCTCGAAGTTATGTCAAAAAAATGTTTTTTTCAAATTCTTTCTCCTTCGATATCTCACGAACGAATGAACCGACTTTTATTTTCCTAACGGCATTCGACGTCATTTTTTGAGGTTAAAAGCTGATTAGTTTTTGAAATCGATCCGTAAAGCCTCCGTAAAAGTTATTAGCTGGTTATTTTTTATTAGGGGTACATTATTGTTAAGTTTTTTTTGGCAGAAACGCCTCTGTCAAACAAAAGTAAATTTTATATCTGACTTCTTTTAATGGCATTTATTTTGACTTAATTAATGCATCTCGCCGGTACATATGCTAAGCGTTATTAACGCATAGAATCAGAATCAGAATATTTTTATTGCCAATAAACTGTGTATGTACAATTTGCGGGTGACATTGCAATTAAATGTTACACGGTTTACCCATATCGAGTATGCAATAATTAGAAAACAAAACTTAATTTAAATTATTTGGTATTAAAATATTCATCTAAATTATAAAAAAAAACATTAGTATGCAATAATTAAAAAAACAAAACTTAATTTAAATTATTTGGTATTAAAATATTCATCTAAATTATAAAAAACATTATGTATTAACCATTTTTTTAGTTGTTTTTTAAATTTTGGCAAGTCCATGGCTTTTATATGAGGTGGCAGATGATTGAATATTTTAATACCTGTGCAAAAGGTGCTCTTATAATACATATAATTATTTATTCTAGGTGTATATAAATTATACTTATATTTAGTGCGTATTGGGCGTGAATTCCCGTTAGATTTAATCTGAAAATAGTTGCCATTCTGTTTGATAAAAAGTGATATTTCTAAAATATAAATATTAGTGAGAGTGAAAATGCCTTTTTCTTCGAATACATTTCTTAGAGTTTCATCTAAGTACATATTATAAATGATACGCAGACATCGTTTTTGCAGAATAAATGTTGACTGCACGTTTGTAGAATTACCCCAGAAAATAATACCGTAAACCAATAGAAGGTATACCTGGCCGAAATATGCAGCCCTTGATACTTCAACGGATGTTGTTTCTGCTAATATGGATAATGCGTAACTGTAGCTAGAGATTTTTTTGTTTATTTTTTCAATATGAGATTTCCAATTTAAATGACAGTCTATGGTGACTCCAAGAAATTTAATGTTATTAACTATTTCTATTTGAGTTTCTTTATCTGCTATATTTAAATTTAAAGAATTTGTTTTGTAATTTCTGAATTGAATTATTTTAGTTTTTGTTAGATTAACGTTTAAATTAATTTGTTTAAGCCATTCAACTGTTATTTTTAAAGTTTTGTTTATATTATTTTCAAAATTCATTTGAGTATCAGGTATAAAGATTGTTGCATCATCAGCGAACATAACACATCTATTGTAAGTGATATTTGGCAAGTCATTCACATAAATTAAGAATAACAAAGGGCCCAAAATACTTCCTTGTGGCAAGCCTAGAGTCATTTTAACTGGCTCGGACCGTACTTCTTCAAAAGTTTTACTGACTTTGTCAAATTTTTCAATTGCTGTTATTTGCACTCTATCATTTAAATAGCTTTTTAATAGTTCCAATGTCAAGCCACGTACACCTAATCTGTCAAGTTTATTTAATGGTATATCATATATGACACAGTCAAATGCCCTTGACATATCTAAAAACAAACCTACACAAGAAGTTTTATTATTTAATGATTCCCAAATTTCCTTGCGTATTTCATAGATCGCAAGTGTAGTGGATTTATTTTTCTGAAAGCCAAATTGATTTTTACTTATTATACTATATTTATTGAAAAACTCTACAAGTCTATTGTAGATGACTCTTTCAAATATTTTCGAGAAGTTAGGTAAAAGAGCTATGGGCCTATAGTCTTTGACATTACATTTTAAACCTTTTTTTGAACAAGGGTTTTATTTTTGCAGTTTTTAATTCATCTGGAAAGGTACCAGTTTCTATCATTAAGTTCAATAAATAAACAAGAGGCTCATTAATACACTATAGATTTTTTAATAATTTTGACCGATATGTCGTCGTGGCCGCAACTTTTTTTATTTTTAAGGTTCATTATTGTTTTTTCCAATTCATTTCCATCAACGGGTGATAAATATAAGCTATTTATATGTGTAGGAGGTAGATAGTAGGTATCTGTAGCTTGTGTTTGAGCGTTGATGGTAGCAAAATGAGTGTTAAATACTTCAGCTATAGAACTTGCATCCGTGATATTATTATTATCAATAGTCACATTTTTAATGGTTGCTTTGAATATGTTTTGTGAAGTGGTCTGCTTTTTTATTAAATGCCATTAGCTTTATTTGTTGTTACTATTTTTAATGAATTTTATGTTTGATTTTTGTTTTGCTAAACGTGTAACGGATTTTAAAATTTTGCAGTATTTCTTATAATACGGTATTAATTCCTGTTTCTTATATTTAAATATTTTCTGATGTAACTTTCTTTTAGTTTTGCATGCTCTTTTAATGCTAACTGTCTGCCAATTTGATTTTTCTTGAATGAGATTCTAACCTTTTCTACGGGTATACAAAGATCGTATATTAATTTGAATAAGCTAATGAAACTATTATACGCCTGATTGACATCACGATACGAGAAAACTTCAGAAAAACTTAATTGAGAGAGATATTTTAAAAAGATATTTAAATACTTATTTTCATTTCTTCTATGTACATACCAATATTTTTCAATATAACCTTGATTACATGGTACGTTTATGTATTGTGCAGAATGATCGGATAAGCCTAAATGTAAAACTTTAGAGCTGTAATCTTTCATATTTGTTATAATATTGTCTATGCAAGTTTTCGATTTTGTTGTTATCCTAGTTGGGTCATTTATTGTTAGTTTTAAGTTATATTTTAATACAGTATTTTTAAAAAGTGAACATTTAAGATTATTTTCAAGTAAATTGATATTAAAGTCACCAGCTATTATTACTTTTTTAGTCATATATCTTGAACGTACAGTAATTCTATGTAATAACAAGTGCAATGTTTTTATAAATATTTCAAAACTTGAGTCTGGAGTTCTGTAACATCAAACAATACTATAATTTAATTCTGGTAACAGTATACCACAACATTCAAGGTGTTTATCTAAGCTTAATTGATTTATACAGGGAAGTAAAATAAAATCTATACTATTTTTAATATAAATACAGACCCCTCCTCTAGACTCGTTTCTACAATATGAGTCAGCAACTTTATAGCCTGGAATTTGTAAAAATTTTACATCTTGGTTCTTTAAGAAAGTCTCAGTAATACACAAGACATCAATTTTTTCCATAGTTAATAGAACCTCTATCTGGCTGAGTTTAGATCTCATGCCCTGAATATTCTGGTGAAGTATATTAAGACCAGTTAGAACTGTTTCTGCTTGCATATTATTTAGTTTATTGTTAATATCCTGTGAAGGAACGAAAGGAGCGACAATATGTCAATCTTTCCTTCACCGGACTAACAGAACAAGAGGTACTTTTGAAAACAGTATATGTGTTTGACTGTTCTGTTGCAATATTTGACATTAATTTATTTAAGTCGTTCAAGATAATACGAACACCATTTATATTTATTTTGCCTGAGTACTTCGATGTTTGAATATTCTAAATATTTGTTAGAGTCCAGTATACAGCAGTATTTGTGTACTTTATTATCTGAGTATAATAAATTAATGAATTGTTCAATTCTTTTATTGAAGAGATTAGAATTATAGCAATATTTATATGTCGGTAAACAAATAATAATGTTTGTGTGTTGTACAGCCAGGATGCGTTGCTTTAAGATATATACAATATTTTTATAATTTTTGGAAACTTTAAAATCAATATCTCCTATCATAAATACGCAAAAATCGTTAAGAGTGAAGTTAGCTAGCTTCTACTGCAACCCACGTGACAGTTGGTCTATGTCGCCACCTGGTGTGCGATAGTGACAGTTGGTCTATGTCGCCACCTGGTGTGCGATAGTGACAGTTGGTCTATGTCGCCACCTGGTGTGCGATAGTGACAGTTGGTCTATGTCGCCACCTGGTGTGCGATAGTGACAGTATGCGGCGCTCTGCTCCATCATATTGTCTCTTATTATTGAAGATTGCTTGTGGTTACTTATACAGCTGATTATACATATGCTTAGTGTTAAATGTGTGCTTTTTTTTGTGGAAATTCTTTTTTGCCAGAGTGATACCTCTTAACTTTTTCAGACTGATTACCGAGCGGGGTTGACATACATGAGTTAGTTAGAACTTTGCTAGGATTTAATTCGTCTACATTTATAGTTTTGTATAATTCTATAATTTTCTCTTGCTCCTGATTTTTCTTATTTAGTTCTGTATTTATTGCGTTTAAGTTTTTAATTTCATTGTTAGCTATGTTGAGTTCTGTTTGTAATCTCATCAATTCCAATTTTAATACTTGCAAATTATCACTAGTAATTATTTGACTGAGATCTGGAAGACTATTTGAGTTTCTTGACCAATACGATGTAGACAGGTTTTCTCGGGACGTCTGTGTTTGTTATTTTCTTTGAGTAATATAGTATATAGATTCTTGTGAAGTTTCCGTATCACTGAGAGAATGAAAAGAATTTTCAATAGGAATATTTACCTGTATTGTAGTAGGAGCTGGTGTTTTATTGTATGTACAACCATCACATTTGAGTTTTTTTCTATTTTCTGTAGCCATTAAGTAGAACCTTTTCTCTCCTATACTTGTACATTCTATGTGATAGACGTTCTGGTAATTGTCGCAAGTTATGAAATTTCCTCTAATAATATCTTTTTTACACTTATCGCATTTTACTGCCATCTTGAGCAATGTTAAACGAGAAAAAATAAGGATATATAAGAATATAAAAAAAATTGACTTGTAGGAAGTGTGGGATTTCGAACCCCGATTACTCGGTAATAACGCTCGCACTTATTCAGCTAGGTAGTCGCAATATTTTTGAACAATGCAATCATAAATATAAGGATAGCAGACTTAGGTAGCAAACCAAACAATAAAAGTAACCGATAAGACAGTTTAAAAAGGTCCACCAATTACAAGCCACCACATAGACGCGCACAGAATTTTATTTTGTAACGACTTTTTCAAATATAATTTTTTAGTTTTTGATTCAATAAATTATAGTTTATATTGTTCACAGTTAAAACTGGTTAATATTTATGTTTAAGAACACTTTTACACTTTACTTTATGATAAATTTTTGGTCATAGATTGTTTATTGGTGAAATTCAAAGTACACACAGTTTTTTTCACTTTTCTCTATTTAATTTTCATAACAAATGTTGTTTCATAAAAAACATTTATTGAGCGTAACTGTATTTTTGACTTTAGGTTTCACATACAATAATTAATATTAACACACTTATATTATTTTAATTATGAATCTAATGCGGAGCAAAGTTTTACTTAGGGACGCCACATCTGTGTCCGTCCGTGTCCCAATGTGGCTTGGAATATATCAAGGATTTGCGAAAACAGAGGGAGATACTAGCGATGTCTCTTGATTTCTGTTCTGTATAATTCAATAAGCATATCCGCTAAATCCACGCCACCCATATTGGATCTGTACTCCTTTATCATTCGTTGACATGGTACTGGTATTTTCTTTCTCAGTCCTTTGTTATACCGTGGTACAGTTTGGAGATGATGTGAGTCTACGTATGTGCTTGCAACATTGACGCATTTGTTGTCGTACCACTTGATAACAATAATCTTATTTTTGTTACACACAACCTGAGCATGTGAACCTCTCCCTTTCTTTTTTAAGTTTTTATCAGTAGGAGGTTTCTCTTGTGCTCGACGAAGTCGGTTGGATCTAACAATCAAAAAAACAAAACTAATGCTCAAGCGTGGCTAAACTACGGCATAATACTATGGGGCAGCAGTGTAGACTCACACGAACTTTTTATTTTACAAAAAAAATGTATACGCGTACTTGCAAATATCAAACAAGGAGAAAGCTGCAAACCTCACTTTCAAAGTCTCAAAATTCTAACATTACCGTGCCTATATATATTAGAAATATGTAAATTTGTAAAAACACCCAAGTTTTTACACCAAAGTCATAGACGCGCCCCGACACAACGTACCTCGCTATAAGAATAACTTTTTGCAACCAAAATCTAAATTAAAATTACACAGTACAGGTCCTTACTCGATGTCAATAAAAATTTATAATAAATTGCCGGAATACATAAAAGCCTTTGCTTTCTACATGCATTGCATTGGTAGGTTGATTTGCGATTCAACTTAGGAGAGCAACTGGCACATGTTTTTCGAGTTTTTGGCATGATTTCTGTGTTCTGTGATTCAGGTGGCATGTCTGAACCCAAAATACACGCCAAATTTATTCGTATATCGCGTGGAACATGAGTATTGTGTAACTCTGCGCTTCATATGTTCTAAAACCGCGTTTCTGGCCAATATTTTTAGGAACTGTCCTCGATCAATATCGTGGGCACCATCAGCTTGATATAATACATGTACATTCACTGTACTTATGTCCAACAAACGATAAAATATCACCATAGGCCGCCTTCGCGTTCGACGGCTGCAGGTGAACATTTTTTATCTATCTCATCAACTCTTCCTTTTGTTGAATTATACAAGGCCATAATTTCAGGTTTGCGATTCTATTGATAAAAGCACAGTTTTATCAATAGAATATCAACGAACATCGAAGAAACGAAAATCACAGCTTTACCTTTCTTTGGCACATGAGATATCAAAGTATTTTGATTGGTAAATCCGTAGAGCGTAGATACCACAACTCTTGCAAAAAGTCTTTGGAAATTTCTCTTTTGTTTTTTTTCACAATACTCACACACGTAAAGCCTCGTTTTTTCAGTGCGTCTACCAGTTCGATCGACGTAAACCAATTGTCAAAGGTTACTACCGTATATGATTTTCGCCAAACGAATCACTGCTTGTGATGGAACCAACAACTTCTTTTATTCGTTCATCAAAGTTTCACCATCAGATCCTCTTCCACAGTAAATATAGCCATTATAGTAGTAATTGTTTTTAGCATCGCACAAGCACATTATTTTCAAACCGTACTTTGATGGTTTGTTTGGCATATACATAACGAAATAAGAGTGACCTCTGAAAGCTACCAGAGTTTCATCGACTGTTGCACAGTCTCCAGATGTTGTATAGGGATTGGCAATTATTTGGAAATATTCCGAATATGTTGGAAATTGCAGCTAGCTTATCATTCTGTAGTCTTTCTGCTCGGTCTGCTCCATTATCAAACCGTAAGCACAGTAATAAATTCAAGATCATTTTCTGTGGCATAACACATCTAAAAAAGTCTCGACCTGTAGTGTCCATCCAGTATATTCAAGTAAATACGCGCGCCAACCGACCAGGCGCCGAAAGTTCGAGTGTAGGGCTTCTAGAAAGTTTAGTTCTTCAATTCGATACTAGATGGCGCTGTCGGTTTAAAGATTAGTCATGTCATTTTCTGGAAAGCTCTCCTCGCTCTGTTGCCCGACACTAGATGGCGCTAGTGCCAGACGTTAATTTAGGTGCGCAACAGTATTAACAACTTTCGTGGTTGGACTTGAAAACAGCTATGTACATTAGAAGACTAAGAAACGCGTGCAATTCGATCATATCTCTGTCTTGTAGTTCTGGACGATTTTCTCCAGTGTACTTCAATTTGAGTTCCCAAATTTTCACATTTGTCCACTTCAAAATTTCTTCTAAAATGCCAGGAGTCATAATTTTATTCTATAGAGAATAGGGATCTTGTTCTTTGCATTCGTTCAACTACAACTCAGGCATACGTGCTATAATATTGTGTTGGCGTGTTCGTACAGCTCTGTTAGGCGGATTTTTGACCACTTGTACCGGTTTTTACTCTAGAAACATCTACTTATACCAGATAAAGTTTCGTCATCACTGTCATTTTATGAAGGCTGATTCTTCTGAATTGTTTCTCGGCTCATGACTTGGTGTATTTTGCGTTCTTCGTTATCAGAGGCACTTTCTTCAGTTTCCCAAATGTGGTCACTTTGTTCTGGGACGTAATTTTCACAAATATCTTCGGCTTCCGAACCACTTGAACCTTCATGTATCAGCCATTCTTCAATTTGGCTATCCGATGGAAGCCGTTTACTAGAGCTTGGTATAACATTTCTAGATCTCGACTCCTTACACTTCTTTTTTAGATGTTCCGAATTATCCATTCCATAAAATAACTGTAAAACAACAACTGTAAAAAAACACTACAGAAAAATTACGTTAAAACTCACGAAGTGGTGACATAAGGTCTGGGAGGCCGCTCCCAAACTTTACATGGATATTACTCACCGATTTGGACTTGTCCGACGCAGCTATCCCTTTCAACAGCGTGGCCGCATCTGAACTCGAAACTACTCAAGGGCTGAAGAAAACGGAGCGCGGGGACGGTGGTGAAACGACGTTTTGTTGATGCTGTTCGGCCTGTGAGACCGCTTGTCACCAGTTAAAGGTTAAAGAATATTTTTTTCTTGTGTATATGATAAATATTTTCATTTGAAAACAGTGTCGAAAATGGGGACCTCGAAGAAAGTACTTTTAGATAGCGGTTGAATAGTTTGCGATTTGCTCCAGCCAAATACGTAAATCTTATACATATCCATTTTTGTTTTCCAATCAGGTTGCAAAAATTTCCTGGAAGATAAAACTCGACAGTCAATTGTTTCTATTGTCGGAAGAGAATTATTTAACTTCGTTCATTGATTTTTGCCCATTTGTAAAAAGGTTAACTATATCTTTAGAATTGCGAGTGTTCTTGCGTGATTCTTGAGTGCTCATTCGTCTTATTAGTGCTGTAGAGAACTGGAGACATTTTTAACCGACAACGACGTATTCTGCACTTGTCTTCAGGCGTGACCACGCTTATACATTTTAGTATTTAGTTGGCGACATATGTAGGTGTCTATTTACTATTTAACCCACTTACTCCTGAGCAAACTTTTTTCATAGCATTGAAATAAAATTTCATATGATATGCAATTAGGCTACAAGTAATCTCAAAAAAAATGTTTAAAAAAATCTCACTATCCCGGGAAAGCCGGAAAATGGTGTGTCGTAAATGACACACTAGGAGAATCTACTACTACCAATCATTAGAAAAGGGAGTTATTTTGCAAAGGCAAAAATTTATAATAATGATATTTCACTATTTCATTTATATAATATAACTTTATTATAATTATTTTTATAAAACAATTAAACTTAAAATTGAACAAAATAACTATAAAACAAAATTACTAGGGTGTATGATAAGCTTTAAAGCACGTTTTAGGTGTAGTGTAGCATTGCATTTGACACAATAAAAGTTTGCACTTTTGTGACAGAAGACGCATCTCAAACGGTCTTCTCTATACCTTACTAAATGGCCATGGTGGTTGTACTGCAACCACCATGGTCATTTGTGTCAATCTTCTTATTGTTTCCAATGAGACTTACAGCAATATTTCTGCGAAATTTCAGATGATCCCAAACTAATCCATTTTCCTTGTATAATTGCCAAGCATTATGTGTAGCCATATCAAGACAACGAGTGATAAGTGGGAATTACCATTTCTTACCACAAATACTTGTCCTGTAAAGGCTAATATTTTGATCAGAACGATCAACACCTCCCATATTTTCGTTATATGCCTTCACAACTGCAGGTTGATCCACTGGCACATATTTTTTTTTGTTGCTGAGAAAATCAATTGACTTTGTTGACGGGTAATATTTTTATAGTATTGGAAGCCGCGGTAACTACACTATTATCATTCCACTTACAGACGACAATTTCTTCAGCTCTTGTAGATTTGTATTTGTAGGTCCCACGGTTAGTTTTTTTGAGTTCATTGTTAGTGGGCAATGGGAATTTTGACACTCTATTCTCTCTTACGGTGTCTATTGTAGTTACTCTTAGGTCAGACCGCGCGTCCGAAGTTCATCTATAAGTGGGATAGAGGTAAAAAAGTTGTCGAAGAACAGATGAAATGGAGCTTCTGCATTTATCTTACGAAGCTCATCAGCATACTGCAATACAACACTGGCACCCAATCCGAGACTTTTGTATTTTGTATCGGTGCATTCTTGTTGTCCTTGTTACGATTGAAACCATAAAACGTAGCCCAGACGCGTTGCTCCAACCCAGAAATTATAGCCCCATCTAATGGGTTTGCCTCTTATAAACTTTTTTACATGGATGCCCACCGTAATATAGGACCATAGCTTCGTCGCTACTGTGACACTCTTGTAAAGGAGCATGCTTCAAAAAATTCGAGTTTAGCACATCAAAGAGAGGTTTTAACTTTGCAAATTTGTCTCTCTCATTGAGTTGCGAGTTGTTGCAACAATGTAAATGGGATACTATAAAATTAAACCTATCCCTTGCCATAGCTGATGAGACAAATGGTACACTGCAGTCTGGAGCATTTTCCCAGTACATCGTCTAGGAACAACCACGTATCCACTATACAACAGTACTCCCAAAAAACATTTAATCTCCCTTGCTGTCACGTTACCTTCTTTATTCTTCTTTGTAGCATATAAGTTAGTAAATATCACAAGAATATTCAAAACCACGTCGTCAAACATGCAATCAAAGTATTCAATGGGATTTTTATCACCATACTGGTCAGGACGCTGTGGGTTATGCCAATCACTGAGCGTAGGCTGAGTATCTCTTGAACTCCAAGTATATTTATTATTTTTGAAGTTGATCATAGTTGGAGCATTTGTTGAAATAGAAGGTACTGGTACAGCAGGTGAAACCGAATTATCTATTTGTCCTTGAAGAAGCGAGGCTTGGGATGTGGAAGCACATTCATTTTCAAAATTTAGACGTCGCCTTTTGTTTACTTCGGCTAATGATAGATCATCATCACTCTCCCAATCACCACAGCTGTTGCCATACTGGACCTCAGCAGCAGCCCTTAGTTGAGATCCCGGCAAGTTTTGAAGTGACACCAAGTCTTCATCTCCAGAGTCTTAATCCGTTATCTCAGCATTACAATTTACCGGTGGCATTATTGTAATAGATTCTGGGATGTCATCATCATCATTTTGCGCCAATTCCTCAATAATCTCATTTAGAGAAATTTGCTTTCCAAACTTCCTTTAATCAAGACAAGTGACCTCAATAATAGTAGTTCATTTTCCTACTGTGTCTTTTACGGAACATTAAAATGATTTGAAAAAATTACAAATAAAATAACCTAAAATTATTTCAATTCTTTTACATTGAGTAACCTAAGAGATCAAATATGATATATATATAAATACATTTGTGATATGCTGTATAAAAAATATATACACTTACCTTGAAGTAGCCATTGCAATATCCTGAATATTTCAAGTTATTTTCCACAATAATTAAGAAGTGTAGCTCACAATCACTAATGCACATTTAAAGAACAGTTTCTCAAGCACCAATCGACGTAGAAGAAAAAAAATAAAAACTACCCACACATATTTTTTATTTTCTTTATGGGCGTGTCGTTTAAGACGCAGTACGAGAAAGTGGGTTAGTAAAATGACGAAGCCACAACACAAATATCGTTAGTCTAGCCATTATGTGAACATGTGTAAACGGCTCCCTCTGGTCCATCTTTTTCTAGCTGTGGCAAGTGACGTTGCCGGGGAAATATGAAAAGCGGAGGAACGAAAGATCTAGACGCACTCATAGCACATATTACTGTGACCGTCTTTCCAATTTCGGACAAAGACGCGACGCGTTTTTGTCCTTTGGGAGCTATAATTCTTTCAGTCTATTGAACGGTTGTTACACATTTGACATAGTCCGAAGATGGTTAGCCAGTATTTCTTCTTGGGCAACATTAAATACAATACGTCTTCCCAGCTTAGGAGAGTTTTGTAGCTACTATCGTCAGCTTTCGCTAAATTGTGTCTCTTCTTTAGAGTGCTGTAAGGAATGCCAGTTTGTTGAGACACTTTGTACACCGAAATGTCTCCTCTTTTGAGAACAGATACCGCATTTTCTAATAAATCCACTGTCCAAGAACCTTTTGTGGTTGTCCGAGTTCTTTTACGTGGCATCTAAAACATAAAAACAAGGCATTTTATGTCTCTTAAATGACTAAATGTGGTTATGGGAGCTATGTTGGGTAATGAGAGCTTAGGTAGGCTACCATTAGCCGCTGACCAACATTTTGAAAAGTAATAACATAAATATTGTTGCGCGCCTAAGTCGACGTCAGGTACCTGGCACTAGCGCCATCTAGTCGGGGACCGGAGCTAGGAGGGCTTACTAGAAAATGTCAATCTTGACTTTCGACCAACAGCGCCATCTAGTATCGAACAGAAGAATTAAGCTTTCTAGAAGCCCCGTACTCGAACTTTCTGCGTCTGGTGTCGATCGGCGCCCGTATCTACTGGAATATTCTGGATGTTTCGGTGCAAAAGTGTATTTAAAGCCGCTGCATGCCGCGATCGAGGCAGTATTGAATTTGGCGAGACAAGCGAAGCTTCGGAGCGAAATAAAGTGAATCAGTGTGATTAATTATTAGTGTCTTTTAAGTTTTAATTGGTGTTCGGTAATAAAAGTGTAAATTTTGGTAATTTAATTGGCAGTTTTTATTGTCACGAACCTCAAGCTTGTAAAAATATTTAATTCTATTCTCAATAGTAATTCAACTAATTGGACTAGGTAGTAAACGAATCTAGGGATATAATAAGCATAAATATAATAAAATAAGAATATAATTTCATGCTTACCTTGATGCTGGCAACAGACAATTTCTTGCAAGCGTGGAGCGAAAAACACACAACCGTCCCTCGTGACTAAAATAATGGCACTAGGGTAGAGGTCAAAATAATCGTACATGACTTTAAAAAATATGTGTCCTCGACCGTTTTCAGCTTATATAAAGATTAGTTCGGGTCATATCAAGTTATAACCAATTTTGTTTTAAAGGACAATTAATTTACAGGAAAACAAGCCATTTTAGTTATGTTTAGAATATAACTATACCGAAAAAAATATTAGCAAACTAAAGTCACTAATTTCACGTCCATACAAAATGAAAGTGTCCTATTGCGTAATGAAAATTTACATATTATAAAATAATCAATACTAGGCAATTTTTAGCAATATTATATACTGTTAAGTAAAAACTGGTGACTTAATTATTGTTTTCATTCATGTAATCGTTAATTTATTATGTCTATAATTATTTAATTACTGTTTATAATAAAATCCCAAATATCATTCCTGTGAATAACTCCAGGTAGATAACGGTGTTTTAAACGCTCCCGAAAAGAAATTCTACCATATCGCAATTATATATTATGCTAGCAACACTGTTACTCACATCTCGTGACTTTTGAGAACGCCATGTTGTCACTTCATTAAGTTTTGGTTGAAAGAGTGCGCGCACAGAAAAATTTGTCCAAAATATTCCTGTGAAAAACTAGTGAGTGAGATAAATTCTAAAGTGAATTACGCGGGTCTGGATACACAGTCTGAAATAGTGTGTTTTGGTGCTCATACAACACAGAGACATTGTTTTCAAGGTAAGATATTTGTTGTTATGACGATGCATTTTAGAGGTTATAATCCATATTTTTCCTTCCTGTGGATAACGTAACACGACTTAGGGCTAGTTCATACTGCTAATTGTTACTCACAGGATTTTATAGATTTGTGAGTAACACTTGGTAAAACGAATCAGTTTGTATAGTAAGTGCACCTGCAATCAATAACGAGTTGTTCACTTCAAACGAAAATCTCATTCATCTTCCGAACCGCTTGGTTTTGTTCGTATTTTTAACCGACTTCAAAAAAAGGAGGAATTTTAGAATTCATATTTTTTTATATATTTATATATGTATATGCATGAAATATACTGGCATCCACTTCTGGAATAATCTATTATTATTATTTTAATATTTCATGGATTGGACTTTTTGGACGTATTTGTGCATAAATTAAAACTAATTGACTTTACATGCTTACTTTTAGATGGCGCCAATGTCGAATGCTGAGAGACAAAGAAAATACCGTGAAAAAATAAAACAAAATGCAGAAAAATACGAGGAGAAAAAAAGAAGCATAGAGAATACATGAAAGCTGCTAGAAGACCAATTGCAGAACTGACTGAAAAAGAAAAGGAAAAAAAAGCGACGAGAATGGAGACTTGCCAAAAAAAAACAAAAAGAAGGTGGTGTAACAAAACCAAAGAACAACAAGTGTTGTGCGTTAAATGCACGATTATGTGAAAAATTGAAGAAGCGAATAACAGATCAAAAGAAAGTTATAGATAATATATTGCTGAAGAAACATGCTTTACAAAAAAACCTATATAGACATAAAATTAAAATTGAAGAGCTGCGCAAATTGATCTCAAATTCAGAACGAACGGAAAACAAATATTTAATAAACTCATCAGAAAGTAAAACCAACAGTGAATTTGTACCTACAGACATTAATGCACCAACTACCTCATCCGGACTGACCACAACTGACAAATCTGAAAATGAAGATTTACGTGAAAAAACTCCCATGTCTAAAACATTATCCTTTATAAATGAAAATATTCCATCCATATCCACTCCTGAAAAAAATAAAGTTAAAAAAACAGATCCTGCAGCTGAATGTGATCAGTGCTTCGTTACAGACAGCATATGAAAAACATGACAATAAATCAAAACAGATCCTAAAAGACATTGTTTCATCCGAAGCAATAGAAAAATATAATCTGAAAACTGATATTTCGAAATCATTGGGACTGAAAGGGAGAGTAAGAAAATTTCAGAAAAAGGAAAGGACATACAAAGAAGCTAAAGAAATACGTATTTTTTTCAACAGGGATGATAACACTAGAATGACAGCTGGCAAGAAAGAATGTGTTGGTAGAGGTAATGATAAATTACAGAAGCGATTCTTGCTTACTTCATTGAAGAAACTTTACACAAAATATGTAAGCGAGGGAGGAAAAGCTTCATTTTCAACTTTTAGACGAAATAGGCCAAGAAATGTGTTACGGCCAAAGTTGAGTGATAGAAACACCGTTGCATGTATAAAACACAGTAATTTAGCCTTCAAAGTTGCTCATTTAAAGAAAATTGGCGTTATAGGTACTTCCGATTTGCAAGAATTACTTGCATCGAGTGTGTGCAGCGTTGAATCGTACGACTGTATGTATTTAAATTGTGAAAAGTGTAAAGACACCAATCCTGAAATGAATTTGACAGATATTACAAACAATACAGAATGCACATGGATACAGTGGATTAGAAAGGAATTTACGTTTGAGAAGGGAATAGAAAGAAAAATTACTACTACAAAGAAATATGCTAAAGAAAGTATTAAGGGTACATTTTCAGAACTCAAAGAAATGTTTTTAGCTGATCTACGTGCATTCCGGCAGCATTTCTTTAATATAAATCATCAGCACAAAAAATATCGAGAAGTTATTGATAACCTACTACCCAATGAAGCAGCTCTAATAATAGATTTCTCAGAAAATTATTCCTGTAAATTAGGAGAAGAGATACAGGCTCTTCATTTCGGAGCATCAAAGGGCCAAATTACGATCCACACTGGCATAGCATATCTACAACAAAAAAAGGTTCCTTTTGCTTCGCTGTCCGACTGTAACTTACATGACCCTGGAGCCATCAGAGCCCACATAGAACCTATAATTGAATTATTATTAACAAGCAATCCCGACATAGATACCATACATTTTTTCTCAGACGGTCCAAGTACGCAATATAAACAAAAAAAAATTTTTTACCAGTTTACAGAGTTATGCAAAAAGTATAAATTTACTTTTGGAACCTGGACGTTTTTCGAAGCTGCGCACGGCAAGGGTGCTGCCGATGGAGTAGGGGGTGCTGTAAAAAGACTGCTGGATCAAAAAGTGGCATGTGGAAATGATGTTAGCTGTGCCGACGATGCTGTGTCTATTTTAACTGAAGAATCATCTGTTACAATATTTTCAGTCTCTGAAATTAATATTCGGGATGCACAGAACCAGATACCGAATGACTTGGATCCAGTACCACTTACTACACGATTACATCAAATTACTTACCATGTTCCATCAACAACACTAAGGTACCGCAATGTCAGTTGTTTCTGTAAGTCATCTTTGCCAAGAGGGATTTGCGAATGCTACAACGCGAAAACTCACGTCCTGAAAAAAACTATAGTCCACAAGATAAATTGTTCAACCAATGTTAGTAAAAGGATGCGCAACAATGAGGAAGCGGGGCAATTGAATGAATGCGGAGCAGTGCTGCCAGAAATTCCCGTGGTTTCACATCGAATATCAACCAATGACATTGACGTTATACATGACGAAGGTGGAATTTTTCAATCGAAAACAAAAGCAAGTAGTTGCATCATTCGGGAAACTGCTGGAACAAAAATTGTATTGATGGCAAAAAAATCAGAATTCACTTAATATTAACACTAACGTCTTGACGAATGTAAAACAAAAACCCAAGATTATATCGCAAGTTATAATTCCGCCCTCAAAATGTACCCCAAAAATTGTTACCAATAATGAAAATAAAGAAAACTTATCATCACTTAACACTAAAAACTATGACCGGCTTAAACGAAAAACGAGAAAAGAGATTAAAAGAAAAGATAAGAAGTTAAAAAGAAAAAAAGAAGAGGATGAATCAAGCAATAGTGACATCGCTATGAGTGTCCACAGTGATTCAGACATTTGCGACGTTGCTTCTGAATCAGATAGCCTGGATATGCAAGATACAGATTTTAATATTAATAAATCAAAATCTAAAGGCTGCAAAAAAAATGTAAAAGTTAAAATTGAAAAGACTAAAACTTGCCTTATCCCAGATACTATGTTGCATCAGCCCTCTTCAAGTTCCAACTTAGAAATTGTTCCCATTGATATAAAAAAATACGATTATGTATTGGTAAGACACTTTTTAAAAAAAGAGTGGAATATTTTGTAGGCACAGTTTTGGAAAAACCTTTCAATGACAAGGTAAAAATATCTTTTTTAAGAAAAGTTGGCAAACATGACAATACAAAATTTATTAAGACAAAGTCAATGGAAGTGGAGCTAATAGATTGTAAGAATATTGTAAAGACTGTAGAATTAATGTCGATCAATGAAAATGAGACTGATTTTGTATTTCTTGACGACGATGATTATATATATTTTGATTAAAGAATTACATAATTATCACTCAAGTTACCAGTTGTAATAAATATATTAAAGTTCCTTTTTAAGTAATAAAGTTCCTTTTTTTTGTTTTGTTATTTTCACCGCCAAAGTAATTGTTTTGTGTAGGTTGTAGTTTTTAAAGCATGTTTTCGGTGGTGAACTTGTTAAAAATACATTTATTGATGTTAGCAGTTGTGTCAGTCTAACAATAAATAAAAATATGTACCTATTTGTTGTTTCAATGTGAAAGCATCCTATTATTCCTGTGAGTAACATTTTCTTATCAGGTGAGTAACGTTACTACCCGGACTTCATGTGAGTTGCGGTCGATTATTTTGACTTCTACCCACTAACCACACACAGTACTTTGAATAATCCGAAATAGAGTTGGCAGTTAAGTAATGCGACTCCAGCGCCTACTACAGTTCTGTCCGAACTAAAAATATATTAATTATATACATTTTTAATTTACTAAAGACATTTTGGGAATATAATGGTGGCATAATTACAAACGATTTTAGCGAGATCACTCTTTACAGAATGTAATATATTTACATAAAAGCTACTTTTAAGTTTTTGTTGTCATGTCTGACTCCTTTTAAGCCTGTATTTTGTAGTACCTAAATAATTTTAGAATACAGTCACATAAAATGCCTTTTTTGTAAAATAAAAACTTGATATCAGTATCACACATCATGTTGAAAAATCAATATACATAATTAGATAGGCAAATTAACATTAAAAAAATCACAAATATTAAAATGAGCTATTGCTCATTTTAATATTTGTGATTTATTTATAAAGTAACCTCTTCGACGCGCCGCCGAGCCGGTCGATACTCGCGCTCAGCTGATTGTGTCGCGAGTGCCTACTGCCCACAGAGTACTTTTTTATACTGCCTACTAAACTATTCACCACTGTGCCTATGGTACCAGGGCGCCACTCCAAATGACAAATTTACATTGACTTTTCATATACTCCTTTTTTACATAAAGCAATTTGATTGACTATTGTAATAAGAATGGGAAAGTGATCACTTCCATATGTTTGATTGAGAGTTTTCCAAGAAAGCTGAGGGGCTAGACTAGAAGAGCAAGCTGTTAGGTCGACAGCAGACCTAGGGTCTAGTCCTGGATATACTCTATGAGTAGGGGAACCTTTGTTAATGATGCAAGCATTGATATCTTCAAAAATTTGAATAAGTTCTGAAGAGAATACATCACAAAAATGTGACCCCCAAGATACATGATGTCCCCCCCCGAACGGGTTCCCGCCTTGTCGTGGCGGGGGGGCTTAGAAGCCGTGGCTTGGTCACCCACGGCGAAACAAAGAGGAACCCATATGGCTGGTCCGAGGTGGAGGGCCGGCCCGAGGTGGCCACTCCGAGTGGGCTTGGGAAGCCCACTTCGGATGTGTGTTGGTGGACTGCGGTGAGAGGTGTGTCCTCCCCACCTACCGCTGCAGCCGAGGTGGAGTCGCGGAGGAAGAGGAGTGTTGGTATGGCGATGCGCCACTCGCCCTATCCTCCGCGACTCAAACGGGGCCGCACCGTTGATGCGGTGGTGATGGGGCTGCGGGGGGAGAGGATTGTCGGTATTGCGAGGCGCCGCTCTCCCTATCCTCCGCAGCCGAATCTTGGTTGGCGGCGGAGCCATAGACCAGATCCGCCGCTGGGGTTGGGAAGGCTAGTACTTCTAAGTGCTCGTTTTTCCTGGCCCCATGGCCTTCGCGCATCGGACGCGGGGGCGTCTGTTGCGCAGATGTAATTGGAGGCCGTGGAGGAAGGCGTGCCATGTGTTCTGGTGCGCCTTACTTGGAAAGGAGAACGGGGAGGAATATTCCTCTCCCGATGAGGTGCTGCCATGGGGCGGCAGTCGCTGGTGGGGCCGCGGATGTGTGCGAAAGTGTTCCCGTAGCCCTGCCAATATGCGACGAAGGTGGAACACCATGGGGTTTTAGTCGGTGCGAGTCCGACATAACCCGTCCTTGCCCCCGCGAGGCGGGTATGCGTAGGCATTTCCCCATGTTAAAAAAAAACATACATGATGTGAATTAAAATCACCGGTAATAATAAAAGGGGGAGATAACAAAGAAAAGAGAGAGGATAGTTCTTGAATTAAGTGAGTATTTGGATGAGGGATATATATTGAAATAATGTTGATTCCTGCAATTTTTGCAGCTACAGCATTGATGTTTTGGCTATGAGGAGGGAGTGTAATTTGAGCTTTCAGGAACAGAACAACTTGCTCCAGTATGTTCTTGGGCACAAAGGAAGCAGCATGGTTTAGAGCGGCATTGATCAGCTACGTGGGCAAATCGACAACACTGTTTGCACTGGATGGTGGGGAGTTGATAAGTTTCAACAGTAAGGCATGTGAAGAATGCATATACGTATTTGGGGAGTATCTGGCCTTCAAATGTCAAAACAATAGATTGAGTAGGAACCCATATAGGGGATGATGACCCTTCAGTAAAAGTTTTTCGCTGAAGACGGCGAGCTTTTAGGATTTTACCACAACCAGGGGGAAGCTCAATAGCTTCTGCAAGTTCTTCCATTGACCAATCCACAGGGACACCGCGGATGACACCCATTCGAGAAACATTATAAGATGGAATAGTTGCAATCAATTTTTCTTTTGCGAGCAATGAATTATTAAGGAATTTGTTAGCCTCATCTGCTGAGCAGAATTCAATAGAGATGCGATTTCTACCAACACTTTTGACTCCTCCTTTTTTAATGTTTCCTATATTATTTTTAGACAAGCATATACCTATTTTAATAGGTCGAAGTGATAGCCCTAATCTAGGGTCTGACGAAGACCGGGAGATGTGGACAATGAAAGGGCCTTGATCATTTGGCCCATACATTCTAAGATTTTGTTCTAGGCAGGGATGTTTATATATAGTATTTATTGATGCTGTTAAATCAACTACAGAATTCTTTTTATATAATATTGGATAATATGTTCGAGTCTCAGCATGTCTTTTTTTACCACGATCACAATCATTATTATCACTTAATCCAAAGCACATGTCTACATCGGGAGGGTCAGGGGGTTTCTCACGGGGAATTAATAAAATTAAAACTAAACCCAAGCATACCACTGCAAGGCTTCAAGACACAGGAAGTACATTCTGTAGATCGGACCATAAACGAAAAATTAAAAATCTGAAGGTATTCCAGGTTAACACTGACATTGGGACGTCAGTCACCTCAGTCCGCCGTAACCATGGGTGCTGGAAAGCACCCGAAATGTCGGGAATTAAAAATCAAGGAAATAAAACGCGATAAACTTGATAAAAGTAGTTGTTAAAAAAACTGTATTTGTGAAAATAAAAACCTATATATTTTTAAAATCCCGACTTTTTTTAAAGCAATTCCTTTACCATTTTATTCTTTTAATTGCATATCATATCTATATACTTTTATATGTGGGCACCCATGACCGAAGTGTCTATGAAGAGTGGGCAATCCCCTTTGTTGGTTAGTTATGAGTTGAGACACTAACAATGTACGAGCCCAGTTTATAAATTTGTAAATGACAATGCAAGAATGATTTCTTCTGTAATGTTTGACTCATATGATAATTATAAACATCATATTCATAACTAAAATCAGATTGAATGAAAAATTATGAATATTATATTCAAAATAAAAATAAAATGCAATTTCCACCATCATTCAGATAAGAACATTTCATGACAAAGGTTTATATATAAATTCATATTTAGTTTACATATTTAAGTTGTCAATGCAAAGGTACAGTCTGCTAGTCTCATAGAAAGAAAAGATTAAACTTCAACAATATTAAATAAAAGTTGTCTGTTTGAAATTACCTTCAACAGGTGCTAGTGATATGCTAGGCTTTGCAGTGTTTATTGATGGCTGGTGATCAAAACCAACATTTATATAGCAGCCTGAAAATATACGAAAATTAAAAATGTGTATTTAACTGTTTTGTATCATATATTTTGAGATAAAAATCTAAGTAAAATTGCATGTGTTTGTAATTTATTATAATCGGTATAGAATAAAATTTCGATATTATATTTAAAAACAACAGTAAGAATCATATTTACATAATACCAAAAAATTTTGAGCCTCACCACACATTGAATCAAACATCATTTACCTGGAAAATGTAAAGTTGGTACTGCATTAGGTGCAAGTCTTTTACTCCATGTGTAATACTTCGACTCAAAGTGGAGATGACATACTCTGCGGTACTTAAATACATTGCCATCGTTCATTGCTAAAATGTCTTAAAATCGATCAGCTTGTTTGCTTGGGTTTGGAAATATATGTAATATAACATTATCCGATCCTGAAACAACATATAAATTAAATAGTATTATTATATAATGCTAATTTAATGAGATTTTCAATCGTCTTATACTGAGTGGATATGTATAAAATTTAATAGAGATAAGTGATTTCATGCTTATTAAAACATTAAATAATTTATTATTTTGTTTTGTACCTTAAAAATGATTTATATTTCTTTATGAACAACACGTTAAACTAACCTGGTACATGTTCAGGCTATCGAAATTACAGCGATGTTTAAACAAGTAATATCAAGTAGGTTTTAATTTTGTACCTTGTAATAATTTTATGATATAAATACTTACGGTTTTTGTTGCAATTAGGTACACAGCATCTTTTTTCAGCAGCCATGGTAAATGTCGATAGAATCCAAGTATTAAGGCAATCCAAAATCCGAAAAGAAGTCCGTGAGTTAACGT